CCTAAACTGTTAATTTCAATCATTATAAGGTCGTCAGTCCTAAACTGGTTGGACACGTACCTCCATTCCTTCCTATCCTGAACTAAACTAGAACAACCCACATCCTTAACTATTTGCGAACAGTAATCTAATATAGGTCTATCTCTACCCCTCCTAACTGAGAAGGTGTCGTACCAACCTATCTCGCCTATTTTTTATTGACTTCCATAGAGTGCTCTGGTCTCCTATTCTTTCTAATACCTCTTCATTTCTAACCTTTTCTACCCACGATATCCTCATCATTCGCCTATAACACCACATTTCGAAGGCTTCTAACCTTTTCTTTTACGCCGCGCCCACTGTACATGTTTCGCACCCGTACAACGCCGCGCTCCTAACACACGCCTTTAACACCCTTTTTCGAATTTCTAAATTAACCATTCGCGAGCATAGAAGTGACTTGTTTTTATTAAAGGCGGCACGAACCTGCGCTATTCTCTGCTTATATGACTTCCTAGACATCTCAAATCAGCCACTTCTTCTAATTTTTCGGCTCCTATCTTTATATTCGCTCTTTCCCTACTTCTTCTTCCCTTGCATACCAGTATTTTTGTTTTACTTTTATTTATTTTAATACAATACTGATCTGTCAGTACCGCTTCCATTTTATTTAAAGCAATCTCTAACTCCTCCTTGCTAGATGCTAATACTGCTATATCATCTGCAAATCTAAGCATACTAATCTTTTGCCCCTGTACATCTATCCCTAAAGTTGTACTATCTTTAATGATGTTGATCGCGTCTTCGATGTATAGATTAAAAAGCAGCGGTGACAGTGTGCATCCCTGTCTGACTCCCTTCCTAATATTTACTTCTCTACGTTGCTGTTGCTCTATAATTGCCTGTTGCTCTTTATACAAAGTAGGTATCACTCTTAAACTATTAATTTGGTAATTCAAAAAAGATTATCAAATGCATGTTTGGTGCACGGCTCCGTATGGATGTAAAACATGGACACTGGGCAATGCGGAAAAGAATAGTTTAGATACGTTTCACAAGTGGAACTTTAGGCGGACCCTGTATGATATTGATGATGACAAATCTATCTACAACTATAAAACTTAATTGCCATTTTTACCATTTACGTCTCTATGGTGAAACTATCAAAATTTAAAAGTATATACACCCTTAGGTCGTTTCTTAGAAAGAAAGATCGTCCTTGTTTGCCTGATTTTGTAAAAACTTTACATTTAACTTCGACCCGCTTCACACAAATTGATTTCCACGAACTACTTCTTTCTTAGTTTCAAATTAATTTAAGTAAAAAGGGGATGGTAAAACTTTCGTATTACGACTTTTTCGAAAACAACTTTTTTTTCTTGGAAATGGCTTTAAGTGGCCCAATTATTATGAAAAGCGTACATGAAAAAGTCTGAGGAAGCAATTACAATGAATAATTTATTTTCCTAAGAATCACAGCTTTTTATGTGCTTCTCCAAAAAAATTTTTAGCCTTTGTCCGGTCTAGTCGTAATGAAATTGACTGCACCTAAAATTAAGGAATCTCTAGTTAAATGGAATTTAAAGTTTGCAAGGTCTACAAAACCTCTATGGGGAGCGTTGCCTGCAAGCGGGGGATAAATATCGGATCAGTTTCAGTTTTTCCTTTTACAGTTCTTTTTATTAAAAGTGTGGTTAGTGATGGAGGAAGCAGTCAAACAAATTGGTTAAGGCTTTCGCAGCCAGTACGTCAACTAATACTGCACTGATACAGGTCTTAAAGACCGTCGTCGGTTGGTGTCGCTTCCTAGCATCAGCGACAAGCCTTTTTAAAGGTCCTTCCTTCCAACCGACGACGGCCTTTAGATTCGAATCAGGACATCATCAGGTGTTCTCAAAATCTAACATTATTACGAGGTTTTAAATAAACACTTAGTAATAATATTTATATTGTTCAACACTTAACACTATTGATTAATTTAAATCTGTACACTAAACTATTATAAACGCGTCAATCGCTGCGGACCCCGGAGGGTGCAGACAGGGCTCGTTGGCATTACTAATGTCCAAAGTGACTAGACCCCGGAGGATGCACAGTCGGGAGGAGCTATTAGGTAGAGGCCAACTACTCTTCCTTCGTTTTTTTTTGTTTTCGTGGAAGAGGGGAAATCTTCAAAAGACACCCAGCCATCCGTACGAGTGGGTAGTGTTGTATTCCCGAGGAAGATGTCCTCGGACCTACCGACTAAAAGCCCTCTACCTGAGGCCGTTATAGGATCAATTAAGGTCCTCTTTAGCCAATTGTTGTTCAGAGTTTTATGTGATTGTATTTTTGAGAATGCGTTTGTGTGTATGGGGTTATTTTAAGGAGTTGGGAAGGTTATCCAGGTAATTGAGGTATTCGTCAGGTAGGTCGGGAGTAGTTGCCAATAATTTGGCAGGGGGGAAGGGATCTTCCTTCGAAAAAAAAAAAAACTTTTGGGTGTTTCATTCCCACCAGCCAGTAATGCTAATGGGCCGGCAGTCTCTCCGGACTACGCCGGAAAGTAGGGCGGAAGGCCCTCTTCAGCCTGCTTTCAGGAATCGTGGGAATGGGTGGGTGGTGGTTCGGTTAAGAAAGATGAGACGGACGAAATGAAGACAGAAGAAACTGAAAGATTATCTGTGGAATATTACTGCCTCAGCATTTGCCTAAGTGGTCCAAGGAAACCACAGAAAAACTTGGACCAAGGCAGACGGACCCGGAATCGAACCGGCGTGGTGTGGTTCCTTAAATATAAATTTGGGTGGAAAGAGAAAGGGTGGCTAGGCAACACTGTCCTAGTGGTAAGGGTAGCGTTCGGCGGCGGCTGGGGGTAGCTAGTGGCACTATCGGAGAGGGTGGTCCGGAGAGTGACGGTACTATCACGGATTGTGACCGCGATGTTTAAAAATGGGATAGGTGTCAACATTATTTCTTCGTGATCCTAACATCAAAGGTGCTAATTAGGGGTTTCTACGCGGGTACACGGATCCGGGTATACCCGGGTATATGAAAGTTTTAGTACCCATATACTATTTCATTGCCAGGCCCGGATACCTGGGTACCCGCTTTAATCAGAGAACTCATCAAAATTATCGGAAAGTTATTACTAAGTAGCGCCAAATTTGCACTACAAACAATTAAAATAACTAAGGCGTTTTTTACAAAAATGCAGTAAATCTGAGAATAGGTTGGGTTATATCGCCGCGTTTTATTTTTATTTCGTCAGAGTTTGATTAAAAAGTTTTATTTCTATTATTTTCATAGAAATGTAGAAAATATTCAGTTGGTAGCTCTAATTTTTCGGTAAACGGTGAGTAATTGAATTAAATATTATTAATACAAAATAAAAAATTGTATCTTCTGTCAAGAAGAAAAAGAGCCCTTTACCTCAAATCTATAATAAGTTTAATGTGAACTATGTCGTTTATGTAAAGTTGATTTTTTTTTTAATTGTTTATTCTTAGAAGAAGGATTATTAATTTAGTAAGGCGCAAATAGGTCCAGAATATTCCGTTGTTTGCGTCGAATGTGGTTGCAGCATGCATATTCAGTATTCTCTTTATTAGCTTTTCTAAATGGAAACGTTATTTTGCTATCCATATTTAATTCCGATCTTCTACAAAGAAAATCATTTTGTTTCGTCCCCTTCTATTAACTTTCTTATTAACTGACATATTGTAGGATTTGGTCTCAACATTTGATTTAATTTTCTGTTCCATCTTCCACGAAATTATTTATAACGATATTTTTTGTTGTAACGCCACCACATATCAACTACCATGGCATGATTATCGTCCGCTAATGGATGAAGTAATCAAAAATCTTCGGTAAATATTCATTATTGGGCGATTCTTGTTGAATATTAAGTCATCCGCCGTCTATATTTTTAACAGGAAGGCAGGATAACGCAGCACACATCCTAACCTGTACTCATAAAGCATCCCTTAAAATTACAAAAACAGCTTATTTAACTTCCACCTCAAGTGGTACTTCATACTTTTCAGGTGGAAAAGTAGATAACAATAGTGGGAGGAAGGCGCTTCTTGTACGCAAATATTAAAAAAAATAGGATTACGGATTATTTGTAACTGTGTGTTACCCCGGCTTCGCTCGCTTTGATCTCCTAAATACTTGTCGAATATCATAGACGATCACATAAAACTAATTTTCCTACCCCTTGGGAACAGTATGATAACAGGTGTATGTTTGGAGCACGGCATTGTACGGGTGCGAAACATATACAGTGGGCGCGGCGGATAAGAAAAGGTTAGAAGTGTTCGAAATGTGGTGTTATAGGCGGATGATGAGGATATCGTGGGTAGAAAAGGTTAGAAATGAAGAGGTGTAGGAAAGAATAGGAGAACAGAGGACTCTATGGAAATCAATAAGAAATAGGTGAGATAGGTTGGTAGGGCACCTTCTTAGGCATGAAGGTCTAGTCAGAGACATATTAGAGGCAGAAACAGGAGTTAGGAGGGGTAGAGGTAGACCTAGGTTAGATTACTGTTCGCAAATAGTTAAGGATGTGGGCTGTTCTAGTTTTAGGGAAATGCGAAGATTAGCTCAGGATAGGAAAAAGTGAAGGTACATGTCCAACCAGTCTTAGGACTGACGACCTTATGATGATGATGAAAAGGTACCCCATATCCTATTTTGTACCGCTGCCAATGTGTGAAAAAAATTTCATAAGTTTTACCCGCGGCTTCGTTCCAAATATTACATGTCAAAGATCATCGACGACCACGTAAAACTAATTTTTCTATCCCTTCTGAATATTTGTTTTCTGGATAAAAGGTGCCCTAATGGAATGGGATTTTACAGTACTTGTTGTTTTCTTGCTTTTAAATTGAGTTTCATAATAAATTATATTGTCTACTAATACATTTTATTCAGATCAGTTTTATAGTTTTAATGAAGTTGATGATAATTTTCCACAAAAAGTTTGATAATGATTTACTTATACAAAATATATAATAATTGTTGTTCTTTTGTTTCAGCGGGGAATTCCGAAATGGAAATGTGTCCCAGTATAGTTTCTTTACGACCCGGTTCGGTAGCACTTACAAGTGATCAATTGGTGCCAGGCGATCGCATCCACAGTGTCAACGGAATCAATACATCAAGAATGAGACCGGAAGAGGTGCTAACTCTTCTCGAAAATATTGATGGAAACGCTTCGTTGGACATCGAGTACACGCTGCCACATTACGGTAAAAAATTACACCACTAACTTTTTAAATACTATTATGTACGTATGTAGCTACCAGCCCAGAATCATATTGTTTGACCCAGTCATCAGTTTGCAGTAATGCGAAACACAGAATATTCTACTTTTTTGAGACAAAAATATACTGCACCTAACTACCCAATTTTTACAACAATAACTGTATTATATCTATGAATGAGTCTTGTAGTTGTGTATTTATTTCAATTGGTTTGATGGCTTTGGCCGTTTAGTCTATGTTGGCAGTATTGCAATATTTGAAGCCAACTTTAAGAAGCGTGTTTACCGTCCATTTGGTGTAAGATTTTTCCAACAAAGAACATATTTGCGTTACACAGACCAACTTCACTGATCGTCAGTTAAGGTTCCTGTTTTCTGTCTTTAAACATATCCCGTGAACGATTAATTTGGTAATTCAAAAAATATTATCAAATGTATGTTTGGTGCACGGCTCTGTATGGATGTCAAACATGGACACTAGGCACTGCGAAAAAGAAAAGTTTAGATACGTTTCACAAGTGGAACTTTAGGCGGACCCTGTATGATATTGATGATGACAAATCTATCTACAACTATAAAACTTAATTGCCATTTTTACCATTTACGTCTCTATGGTGAAACTATCAAAATTTAAAAGTATATACACCCTTAGGTCGTTTCTTAGAAAGAAAGATCGTCCTTGTTTGCCTGATTTTGTAAAAACTTTACATTTAACTTTGAGCCGCTTCACACAAATTGATTTCCACGAACTACCGTTCTTTATTATTTTTAAAACTATTTAAGTAAAAGAAACTTTTCTTTTTTGGAAATGGCTTTAAGGGACCCAATTATAACAAACGTACATGAAAAAGTCTGAGGAAGCAATTACAATGAATAATTGATTTTCTGAAGAATTATGGCTTAGAGACCAACTTAATCTAAATTCAAAAACTTATTGTCAGTGACGCCTCGTACCTAACATTATTGGGATGCTTCTCCAAAATATTCTTAGTCTTGGTGCGGTCTAATCGTAAGTCATACGTATGAAATTGATTGTCCCTAAAATTAAGGAATATCTAGGTAATTGGAGTTTAAACCTTGTAAGATCTACAAAGCCTCTATGAGGAACGTTGCTTGCAAGCGGGGGATAAATATCCAATCAGTTTCGGTTCCCCTTTTTATAGTTGTTTTTATTAAAAGTTGATGATGGAGGGAGAAATCAATCAAATTGGTAAAGGTTTTTACAGCCAGTAGTCACAGTTCGCAATGATGTGGACCACTGAAACGTTTACTTTTTGTGATAAAAATGAAAAACTTATTGCATCTAACTACCCAATCTTAACAACAATAAATTTAGAAACACACCTCTTTAAGTAAAACAGCACTGCAAAATTGTACTTCGTTTACTTTCTGTAGCGATGTGACCTTCAGTTTGACCTGCGCAAAGTAGAAAAGAACAGCACTAGGCCAGAAAAGGAAGGAGACAACTCTCGGCCAAACTCTTAACCGGTGAGGAGCGTATAATCCGTATAATACTGCACGGAAAAATTGACCATTTTATCCACTACAATTGCACTGTTCAAATGTGCTGTTATTGGTACCATTTACCACTGAAAATATCAATGAGATCTTTATTTATATTTGAAGACATATTAAAGGCTTTAACGCTTGTTTGAACAAAACTTTTGGCAGGTACTGTATGAAAAAATATGTTTAATGAACAAGAGTCGAGAGTATAATGAGCTTTTTTCTCCCTACCTACGATTTTGCCAGCGCGCATCCAAGCCATTGGAAGGGACACATCGCTAGAGAAAGTAAATGAAGTATAAGAGGAGTAGAATTAGACCTCGATTAAATTACTATTAACGAATAGTTAGGGATGTGGGGTAATCTAGTTTTAGGGAAATGCGAAGATTAACTCATGATAAGAAAGAGTGAAGGTGCGTGAAAAACCAGTCTTATGATTGACGACTCTTGAGATGATGATGATGTGATGCTACTTTAACTGGTGCTTTTGTCCATCTCACATTCTTCACTCCTTGTCTGTTGATGGTACCATTTACCACTGAAAATATCAATGAGATGTTTATTTATATTTAAAGACATATTAATGGCTTTAACGCTTGTTTTCGACTCGCACTACTATTCATGATTGAACAAAACTTTTGGCAGGTACTGTATGAAAAAGTATATGCATCTACGATTTTGCCAGTGCGCATCCAAGACATTGGAAGAGGCACATCGCTACAGAAAGTAAATGAAGTACAACTGGCAAAAATATAAGCCACAGGATAATTAGCCGCAAATTAACCGTACAAATCAAAATTTAGCCGCGACCCGGAAAAGCCGAAAGAAAAGATAAATATTAGGAAAAGAAATTACACAAGGATGAACATTGTTACAGCTAATTTTAATTTGTACTTCATGGATTAATATTATTAAAGACAGGGACAAAAGATTGGCATACTTAGGCCTTATCCTCACGGCGCTACACGACATCAGCACGACAAACCGAAAGCGATACGATCTGCGGGAGACGTGTTGCAAGTCGGTATTGCTTGTCAATCGCTGCTCAGCATTCATTGCATGGATTTTATGCATTTCCTTAATAAAATTGGGAAATATACAGGTGAACTATAGGTCAAATATCCGTGTTTGTATAATTTTAAATTAGCTGAATATAGCAGAAAAGACGTAACGTATCATTTCTGTTAATTCTTTTGCAGCCACAAATCGCCTTTTTTTTATAATATGTGGGTGTATATGCCCAGTATTTTTTCTTTTTTTTTTGTCGGCTTTTTAAATAAAAATAAATAAAATTTTTCCTCTCTTAATAACAAAAGCTCTTCATCACTCGAGATCTTTTTAAACTCTAGTCAGACGTTTGTACTCTTTGTGTTTGCGATAAATATTACGCATGTGTCGCCACATGTAAATAAGACGTATTGAATACAATATTTTTGCTTTACCGTACGCATTTCCTATATCTCATAGGGCCTTAGATTTACGGATGATAAAGGAATTTTAACATCCGGCTTTGAATAAAATGGAAGTGACATTAACACAAAAATATGATATGTAAATAATAAAAAAATATATATATTGATACGTAATAAGGGATCTTAAACTGTTATTACAAGTAATATAAAAATATGAGACGAAAAACAAGACGAAATCGACCATTTTGGATATTTAGGGAGTTGGATAACTAGGGATGGAAAAGGCTACAGATCTGACGATCGGGGTGGACGGTCGAAGGTTGCTAAGCCTCTTACTCTGTAACTGGTATACTTCATTTACTTTCTCTAGCGATGTGCCCCTTCCAATGTCTTGGATGCGGGCTGGCAAAAGCGTAGGCAGGGAGAAAAAAGCACATTATACTCTCTCTCGGCTCTTGTTCATTAAACATACTTTTTCATACAGTACCTGCCAAAAGTTTTCTTCAATCATAAATAGTAGTGCGAGTCGAAAACAAGAGTTAAAGCCTTTAATATGTCTTCAAATATAAATAAAACATCTCGTTGATATTTTCAGTAGTAAATGATACCAATAACAGCACATTTGACCAATGCAATTTTAATGGATAAAATGGTCGATTTTTCCGTACAGTACTGTACGGATTATACGCTCCTTACCGGTTAAGACGTTAAGAGTTTGGCCGATAGTTGTCTCCTTTCTTTTCTAGCCTAATGCTGTTCTTTTCTACTTTGCGCCGGTCAAACTAAAGGTCACATCGCTAGAGAAACTAAACGAAGTATATCTATATAAATATAAAAGATAACTATTCGATGATTAATTCAAAAATTAATTCGGATGTAAGCTCGTTTAGCATTCACGTCATCATTAGGTAAATTAATGGAAGTTCCTAAAAAAGACATTTGCCTACCAACATGAACATAAATGCTTGAATGCCGTCCTTCGAAATTTTAAGCCCAAATCACATTGCTTTACACTTTATCTGCCTACTTTTCGTCATAAATGAATCGCGAAATTATAGAGCGAACGATTTAGGGATTTTAAACACCAATTCCGTCTAAATTTTCGTGAAAACGCGGAATTTAAGCAAAAAGCTATTTACTAATGAATAATTACAGTCCAGATCGTCATTTTGCTTATAAACTTAAATTGACTTCTGAAATATAATTTACTGATTTGGAATTTAATCGTAAGAACATTTTGGGACGAGATCGGATCAAGATGTTTTTGATTAGGTAATCATAACGAGTACAACTGTAGGGATAAACGTGCAAGGGCAAAAGATTAGTATGCTTAGATTTGCAGATGATATAGCAGTATTAGCATCTAGCAAGGAGGAGTTAGAGATAGCTTTAAATAAAATGGAAGCGGTACTGACAGATCAGTACTGTATGAAAATAAATAAAAGTAAAACTAAAATACTGATATGCAAGGGAAGAAAAAGTAGGGAAAGAGCGAATATAAAGATAGGAGACGAAAAATTAGAAGAAGTGGCTGATTTTAGATACCTAGGAAGTCAGATAAGTGAGGATGGAAGGAGTAGTAGGGATATAAAGCAGAGGATAGCGCAGGGTCGTGTCGCCTTTAATAAAAAGAAGTCACTTCTATGCTCGCGAACGGTTAATTTAGAAATTCGAAAAAGGTTGTTAAAGGTGTATGTTTGGAGCACGGCGTTGTACGGGTGCGAAACATGGACAGTGGGAGCGGCGGAAAAGAAAAGGTTAGAAGCGTTCGAAATGTGGTGTTATAGGCGGATGATGAGGATATCGTGGGTAGAAAAGGTTAGAAATGAAGAGGTATTGGAAAGAATAGGAGAACAGAGGACTCTATGGAAGTCAATAAAAAATAGGCGAGATAGGTTGGTAGGACACCTTCTCAGGCATGAAGGTCTAGTCAGAGACATATTAGAGGCAGAAACAGGAGTTAGGAGGGGTAGAGGTAGACCTAGATTAGATTACTCTTCGCAAATAGTTAAGGATGTGGGCTGTTCTAGTTTTAGGGAAATGCGAAATTTAGCTCAGGATAGGAAAG